AGCTGGGCATGGTGGTGCGTGCCTGTAATCCCAGCTACTCAGGAGGCTGAGTTAGGAGAATTGCCTGAACCCAGGAGGCGGAGGTTGCAGTGAGCCGAGATCGCCCCATTAAAAACAAAACAGGAAAAAAAGAGCGAAACTCCATAAAAAAAAAAAAAAAAAAAAAAGAAAGTGCTTTGTAAAACATAAAATGCTTTAGAAATGTAAGTGTTGCTATGTGGTCTGAAGTGCTACTCATAGTTAGTGGGCTAGAGCCACTGGAGGAGGTCTTCATGAAGAATGGAACATTTTAATTTGGTCTTAGAGGAGGAGCCTTTCAATAGATGAAGAGGGGTGGGAAGGCAGTCTTAGATGTGTAATATGGTTTGGCTCTGTGTCCCCACCCAGATCTCACCTTGAACTGTAATAATCCCCATGTGTTAAGGATGGGGCCAGGTGGAGGTAATTGAATCATGGGGGCAGTTTCTGCTATACTGTTCTCATGACACTGAATTCTCACAAGATCTGATGGTTTTATAAGGGGCTTCCTCATTTGCTCAGCACTCATTTCTCTCTCCTGCCTCTATGTGAAGAAGGACATATTTGTTTCCCCTTCTGCCATGATTGTAAGTTTCCTGAGGCCTCCAGGCCCTGTGGAACTGAGTCAATTAAAACTTCTTTCTTTTATAAATTTCCTAGTCTTGGGCAGTTTTTTATAGCAGCGTGAGAATGGACTAATACAGATGTGTGTATGTATATGCAGCAGAGGAGCCATACTAACAAAGGCATGATATGTGGGTAGGGACTGTAAGTGGAGCACAGGTATGAATAGGGAGTGGTAGAAAAAAGATTGGACAGTCTTTTCCTCCTAATGCTGGAGGAAAGACATTCGCTACTATTAAGTCTTGAAGAATTTACTGCTGTTGCCTTTGTTAGAAAACTGTGAGTGTAAGGCCGGGTGCGGTGGCTCAATCCTGTAATCCCAGCACTTTGGGAGGCCGAGGCGGGTGGATCACGAGGTCAAGAGATTGAGACCATCCTGGTCAACATGGTGAAACCCCGTCTCTACTAAAAATACAAAAAATTAGCTGGGCATGGTGGTGTGTGCCTGTAATCCCAGCTAGTCAGGAGGCTGAGGCAGGAGAATTGCCTGAACCCAGGAGGCGGAGGTTGCGATGAGCCGAGATCGCGCCATTGCACTCCAGCCTGGGTAACAGGAGTGAAACTCCGTCTCAAAAAAAAAAAAAAGAAAATTGTGAGTGTAAGGATTGTTATGAAGGAAAACATTAATAAATTAATTACCAGAGTTTTTTCCTATTGCATTTATAGTAACATTTGGAAATATTGTGTAGAGAGGCTTGGTATCATCCACAATATGCCTAAAGAAGCACAAGCACTTTATTTATAGGTGATATAGTTACTGCTTTCAGAGGTTATATCATTAAAGCTTAGTAGATAATGGCATCAAGGGACTAAATTTCTTCAATGTTGCATATACTTTTATTATAATCAGAAATGGGTGTTAAATTACAATAAGTATTGTTTAGTGGCATGTACTTTTTTCTTTCTTATCTGTTACATATGAAACCATTTCTAAGTTTTTCTGAGCGTACACTACATGATCATGTGGATTTTGTACTTTAATAAGTTGCTGGACTTAATTTGTTAATCCTTTATTTTGGATTTTTATATATATTTCATGGACTAGAAAGTAGTCTGTACAACTATTGAATTGAAAATACATGACTGCGTCTCCTGAAAGTAGTCTAAGAATAGAATGGTGTTTTCCTGGGCCTGGAGGATGGGGCAATGAGGAGTTATTGTTTAATGGGTACAGAGTTTCAGTTTGGGAAAATGAAAAAGTTTTGGAGATGAATGGTGGTGGTGGTTGCACAAAAATGTGAATGTACTATATGTACTTAATGCTACTAAATGCCTCTGAACTGTACACTTGGATGGTTAAGATGGTAAATTTTATATTTGACTACAAAATTTACTTTCAACAGTTTTAAAAGAGTCTAAAGAAAGGACATTCTGAAAATATGATATTAATATAACTTTAACAACCACAGATATCGAGAGGCAATTCAGAAGTGGGATGAAGCACTACAGTTAACTCCAAATGATGCTACGCTATACGAGATGAAATCACAGGTAATAATTATGAAGAATTTCACTTCGATTGTGAAATTGTGCTATGTTTGTTCGGTGAGTGAGCAATGATGAACCAAAATAGCATTTTCTCCCATTTCCTTTTTCAAATACAATTTCTTTGGGAAAAAAATTTCACCATTATTTATGGCTCTGTCTTATGCATAAAATTAGAAATTCATTTGCCTTCACAGTGAAGTTAACTGTTATTTCGGCCTAAGTACTGTAAGGTAGAAATAGATGGATACCTTTTATAAAGTCACTGGTGACCGGGTGCCATGGCTCACATCTATAATACCAGCAATTTGAGAGGCCGAGGTGGATGGATCACTTGAGGTCAGGAGTTCAAGACCACCCTGGCCAACATGGTGAAACCTTGCCTCTACTAAAAATACAAATATTAACTGAGTATGGTGACACATTCCTGTAGTCCCAGATACTCGAGAGGCTGAGGCAGGAGGATCGCTTCAACGTGGGAGGCGGAGGTTGCAGTGAGTCAAGATGGTGCCACTGCTCTCCAGCCTGGGTGACAGAGCGAGACTCCATCTCAAAAAAAATAAATAAAAAACAAATACAAAGTCATTGGTGATCTCTTAGATGAAAAGCATCTGCTTTCCTTGTGAATTAATTGTAGTAGACAACAAAATAACTCCGTTTTCATAAAAATGAGGATGGATTGGGTTCTAGATGAGATAGTTCTAAAAATGGCTTAATCCTTAGTAAAAGGTCAGCATAGATGCAATTTTATTAATAGCTTAAAAATAACATTTGTACTTTAAAAATACGTTTCTAGTATTTTGTAGAAAAGTCTATAAAGAAAACCTCTGAGCACTTGAATAGGTTATCCAAGTGATTTTAAACATATTTTTGACAGGGAATTGTTTCAATTCAGCATTAATCTGCACATCTAACAAATATTTTTCAAATCATGATCTCAAATATAGGACACACCCTTTGTCACCTCTGACTTTAGTTTATCTAGGAAAAACCCAAATAAATTATGTCAGCTGAATCAAGTGATATGAGGACCTTCATTTGGATTCCTTTTTCTTTTTTTAATTTTTTAATTTTTATTTATTTTTATTTTTGTTTTTTTTGGATTCCTTTAATTTTCAATCTTAAATATGTATATATTAGTGACAGGTTTGTGGCAAACTATATGAAGAATTGTTTAATTTTGGAACCTGATAATGATGTTTGTATCATAAATCTTTTAAAGTGTTAATGGTCCTAAAGATTATAGATACAATCCCAGCCCTTTCCATAGACTACAATGGAGGGTGCTAGAACTCTCTGGTAACCTTAACTTTCCCTAACTCTAACCCTAGCTTTCTGGTATATATGGTTTGAAATGTCTAGTAGTGAGAAGGCCTAGGGAATATTTTAAATAATTTTTTTTTTTTGAGATGGTGTTTTGCTCTTGTTGCCCAGGATGGAGTGCAATGGCGTGATATTGACTCTCTGCAACCTCCACCTTCAGGGTTCAAGTGATTCTCCTGTCTCAGTCTCCCAAGTAGCTGGGATTACAGGCATGCGCCATCATGCCTGGTTAATTTTGTGTTTTTAGTAGAGATGGGGTTTCTCCATGTTGTTCAGGCTGGTCTCAAACTCCCGATCTCAGGTGATCCATCCATTTTGGCCTCCCGAAGTGCTGGGATTACAGGTGTGAGCCACTGCGCCCAGCCATTTAAATAATTTTTATAACAGAAGGATGTTCATTAGGGACAGGATGGTTGGTTGAACAAATTAATTCACCTAGTTTAATGGCAATACCTGGGGTTCCCTGAAAGCCACACTGTAAATAGAATAAATAGAAGTGGAATTGGGAGTTCAGAATACCTCTGAGCCATCATGGTTAGAATATGACCACTTGATTTTGACTAGATGGACACAGGATTCAGTAACTGGAAAGGGAAGTGTTTATATTTTCATAGTTATTTCAGGGTGAAAAGAGAACTATAATTTTTTAACCTGAATGGCAGAGTAGGGGGTAAAAATCACCAAAATGCTATTTTTACTCAACTAAAAATGTATCTTAAAAAAATGAAAAGGGTTTTTTCTGTAGTTGCTGGTTTATGAATATGATTACTGATAGATTTTTTGCTCTTTTGTTTGCTTATAGGTGCTAATGTCTCTTCATGAAATGTTCCCAGCAGTACATGCAGCAGAAATGGCCGTCCAGCGAAATCCACATTCATGGGAGTGTTGGCAAACTTTGGGACGTGCTCAACTTGGATTAGGAGAGATAATCCTGGTGAGGAAGTCAGATTATTATAATGCAGAAATTTTAAGTATATATATATATATATTTTTTTTTTTTTTGAGACGGAGTCTTGCTCTGTCACCCAGGGTGGAGTGCAGTGGTGCAATCTCAGCTCATGGCAGCATCCACCTTCTGGGTTCAAGTGATTTTCCTGCCTCAGCCTTCTGAGTAGCTGGGACTACAGGCATGCACCACCCTGCCTGGCTAATGTTTTTGTATTTTTAGTAGAGACGGGGTTTCACCATGTTGGCCAGGCTAGTCTTGAACTCCTGACCTCAGACGATCCACCTGCCTTGGGCTCTCAAAGTGCTGGGATTATAGTCATGAGCCACTGCGCCCGGCCTATTTTGACATATTTTTGATTAATTGAACCCAAAAGTGAATATTTATCAAATCTATATAAAAAAATAATTAGAAAATTACTTCTTAAAATATTAATCCATAAACACAGATCAAAGGTATTACTGAACATCTTTTTTATTATAAATGCTAATTATATCATGATCAGAATATTTTTCAGTTACTTGACATTATGGAGATTAAAAAAAAATTAACAAAACATTGGCATTTTTGTCTTAGTTCTTACGATTATTCAATTTACCACATTATAAAGTGGTATTAATATCACTGTGGAGACAAAACCACTAATAGATTATACAGGGGAAGGAAGATATTAGAATATGGGAGAACAATGATGATGAACATTTAGACTGAAAAGTTGAAAAGTAGAAATGTGTGCAAATGAAATATTCATTGTGTAAAGTCTGTAAACTGGTACTTAATGCATCTCTCAACTTGTCTGGACTATACCTTGTTAGTAGCAGAGGCTAACTAGGTAAGAATTAAGTCCTCTTGTTTTTCTTTTGGCAAGGCCATATATACCTGAAAGCTAAGAAAATTTAACTTCCTAAAAGTATTTGCAAATCTAATATGCAGTGTCAAATTTCCATCTTGTTTTTAAGTCAATTAAGATTTTTAAAATGGTTTTATTAGTTTTTTACAGTTCAAAATAAAACGTTTTAAAAGTTTCTTGCAAGACTAAAATTACTGATAAATTCAAGATTTAAATTTACTAACAGTGGTTTTAGTAAATTGTGGATGACTTAGATTTTTTCTGGCATTCTTATAAATGTGTGATTATTTCTACTTACCAAAAAAGCTGTTTGTCAAATTCTCAGAAATGGTAAGGAATTTCAATGAGAAAACAATTGATTGGCTAAAGTAAGTTAATAATAATCTAAATGAGATTCACAGTGATAGAAACCATTTTGACCAAGTGCTGTTTTTTTTCTTGTCATTTAGCATTGTCAACTTTTCTTTTTTTGCCTGAAGACTTAAATCATACCAGCATTGGAAAAAAGAGTTCAAGGAATTTAGTTTTCTAACAAATAACAGAAGAAAAAAAAACCATATCATGTAATACTTTTTCCCTGTCTCCCTTATTAAAAATTTATAAATCATTATCTCTTGCTTATAGTGTCTATGGTAATAGAACAAATCTCTATGACATAATATTTAGTGAAGATTGTCCTTTATAAAGAAAGAAAATATACTGTAGTTGAGACAACAGAGACACTTTGAATCATCCAATAAAAATAATTTAATATTTAAATTTTTTTGAATAACAGTCCCAGTTGAACTTGTTTTTTTCTGTTGATATGGCTCTATCCATTAATACTGTGAAATTCTTAGAAGAATTGAAAGTATTTTTTTTAAACATTTATATGTAATTTTTAGGGATCTTCTCTGTTTTTATGTAGATTTAAGCTGTTCTCTTAAAAGACTAGAATGGTAAAAAGAAAAGATGACTCAAAATGTCATAATGAAGGGACATTGTAAAATATATTGAAAGCAAGCTAGAATTCCTAACATCTAACAATTCTTACTATATATACATATAGACTAAAACTATAGAAATACATATATAAATAGCACAGGGAGTAAATTAAAGTCATAGTTGGGTATATCTCCATGAATAATTATTTAAATTTTATGAGTTGGATGTGAACATTGGAAAATGTTTATAGGAGATTATGTATATATGTGAGATATATGTATATGTATATATATGAGATATATGTATATGTATATATACATATACATAGTATATATGTGTATATATACATATATATGTATATGTTACACATAGACATACTATATATGTATTTGTGTCTTCATATAGAAGACTATATGAGAATGAGATTTTAAGATGTGGATGAAGGAATAAGAAAGCTGAAGATAATGGCTTCTGGGAGTTAAAAGTTCTGTATGAGGGAATGGGGATGGTGAGAAAGGAATGCTTAAGGGTTTTACCCTGAAGAAGAAGGTAGAAAGGAAAGGAGATTGGGAAAGGTAATGAATACCAGAAGGTAACAGTGTCAGGAGGGATTCTTCTGTTAGCTTTCCAGGGTTCTTAGCCTTCAGTGCTGAACTAGCTTTGTGGCTTCCCTTGGTTCAGGCTCTGTGTAATTCATTACCAGTTTTTGCTTTTCTTCATGCCAATGTATGATAAATACTAATTTTGTTTACTAATGTTTTCTAAGCCTCATTTTAGTCAATGGTTTTAATATTTTGCATGAGCAAATCTTTAATTAGAAATTTTAGTTGCATCATTTGATTCTTTTTATTGTTTCACTTTTGTAATGATAATTACCCCTATACTAATGGGATGGACAAGTGATCATTTCCAGGCAAAAGGAAGATAATTGAGGGTTTTAAACATTTCACTTGAGGGCCTGGGAATGCTGACTCATGTCTGTAATCCTAGCACTTTGGGAGAATGAGGCAGAAGGATTGCTTGAGGCCAGGAGTTTGGACTAACCTGGGTAACATAGCGAGACCCTATATTTAGAAAAAAAAAAAAAATTTGGTCACTACACCTGGCCCAATACATGTAAATCTTTAGTGCCTAGAATGTAGGAAACACTCAATAAATGCTAACGTTGTTAGGATCTAAACTGTTAACTTCAAAGATATCCGCTCCTGGTGCCTTTGTGATTGTGGGTTAGCCCAGGAAATCCCCAAATGTACATGTTTATTGGTCTGCAGAAGCTGACAATATATTTGCTTTATCCTGAGCCCTATTATGAGAACTCCCATTTTAATGGCTTTTAGCCCATCGGCGTATTATCAGTCACTTTCTTTCACACTTCTGTAATTTTTTTCCCCAGTGTTTAGGGCAATACCTTAGCTTTCATCTTTTGTGTTCTAGTATATTAAAATAATACTTTAAGATGTGTATGTGTATAGTATACACACACACACACACACACACGAGGATTGTATTACACATACTAATTTTTAAAAACAAAACAAAAAACTCTGACCTTATTTTCTAGGCAATTCGAAGTTTTCAAGTAGCCCTTCATATCTATCCAATGAACCCTGAAATATGGAAAGAAGACCTCTCTTGGGCAAGAACGCTCCAGGAACAGCAGAAGGTAGCGCAGAGGATTAAAAAAAGTGAAGTACCAACTGAAGTAACACATTTTTTACCAAAGTCAATTCCAGACTATGATTTTGAAAGTGATGAGATTGTTGCTGTTTGTGCGGCTATTGCTGAAAAAGAGAAGACAGTTTCAGCAAATAAAACAATGGTCATTGTGTCCGCCTCTGGGGCTGTAGAAACTGTAACTGAAAAGGAAGATGGTGCTACACCACCAGATGGCTCTGTTTTTATCAAAGCCCGATGAAGCAGTATGCATAAGATTATTTGAATCTGTCTTTTTGATGGCCACTTGAATTTTTGACATAGAGACACATACGCTGGAGATAGCAGAACTCTTGGTTGTAAAATAAGTTTTTCAGATGAGGCATATAAAAACTAAAAAGGCAGGATTCTTGTATAGTGTTTGGAATATGCTTTAATAAGTTATGATTTATATTTCTCAAGGTTAAAATTCTGAGTAAAATGTTTTTGTGATTAATAAACAGTTTAATCTGAATATGTAAATGAATACATTTGAAAGACAACTTGAAAAGTGTATTCTTGAATAGTTAATAACTTGGCCAATGATACTGAAATGCTGTCTCAACTTTTCTTTTATGATAAAGAAAGTGTGTGATTTCCCTCCCTCAGAGAAATATACTGCTCTTACTATTTACTCTTTTTCTTGCTTCATTGGAGTAAGTCTGTCAGAAAGCTTGAGTATTTTTGACATTCATTTTGATTCAAAGTTGTCATTTGGTTATATGTGGACTCCTTGAAAGTTTGGCTGAAAATGCACGCAAATATGTACGTTCTGAACATTTTCTGAAGTTTCTCTTAATTCTGATTTGTGTTTTTGTTTTGACTTTGAAGTATAACAGTGATAGTTGTCTCCTTCAGTACTTGTTAGAAGTGTGAAGTATTGATAAATATGAGAATGATGGTTTTATTTTTTAATTGTTACAGTAAGTAATCCTTACCACAAATGAGTCATTTTTAAAATATGTATTTTTAAATGAATGGCTTTTACAGATAGGTTAATACAACTGTACTGCTATATTATCCTAGTCAAAACCAATGCTTTATTTTCTTTGTTTTACAAAGCTTTAAAAACCCTGGAAACAACTTATTTCTTGCTTATATGTTTCCATCTGATGATTGGGACTTATCTAGATAACTTTTTTTGAAACTACTCAGTGAAATAAAAAATAATTACAATTAAAAATAGCTAATTATACCTTTCTAAAAATAAAAAAGTAGCGCTGTTATTAGCATGCCAGTGAATAAATAAGCACAAAATACAAAGAAAATGTAATGTGATTTATAGTACAGTCTCATGAGTATGAGAAACCTATATTAAAGAAATATTTTATTGAAAGGCCACAATCACATTCACAAACCAATACTGTCATTGCTAATCTGAACTATTATTTTTATACTGTATATTGTAGTACAATAATATAGACCTGTTGGGTTCTGTTACTTCTGTCACTCAGGAAGATATTATTGGTGTAAAATTAATTTTATCTTTGTGAGGAATGAAAGTAGCCCTCTTTGTGTTAAACATCTTACTACTATTGGAGCATGTAAGTAAAGATCTACATTTTTTATGAAGATGGTTTTTAAAACTTTTGTTTCATTGGAATGCATATCTCTTTTCTGAGTTGAAGAAATTAGCACTTGCCTTGAAAATAATATTCTTTCCCTGAGTTATATCATCAGAAAATTAGCTCTGGTTAGAGAGGTTCGTTTGAGTGCTCAAAAAAAAAAAATACATTAATTATATATATTTTTGAGAATAAAGAACTTTCTCAAAAAGTAAATATGTATCTAGAGAAGTGAGTACTCAACATTTGGTATATTGTTTTGAGTAGTGGATGTTTGTTTACTGTGTAATTTGTGAATAAATATTTTCTTCTGCATTTTGAAGATTTTTTCCTATTATTTTGTATTGTTAGCTTTTGAAAAATTAGATTGATCTCCTTAATATCTTTCTTATATGAACATAATATATTTAAAGTACCTTGCATGGTGCCCCGCACATGAAGTAATACTAGCTATTTCAGTAAATGCTAGCTATGTCTGTGAAGAACTTGAATTAGTTTGGTTATATTTAGTCTCAATTTCTTCTGATTTTAAAAAAAGGAGAACTTTTTTTGTAATCCTTTCCTTATCTGAAAGTAAGAAGTCACTACTTCCAGTATTATAGGAGAGATAGTGGGATTTTTTCTTGAGACGGTCTGTAGCTTAAGCTCAAAAGAGGCGAGACTCAGGATGGAATGCATGTGGCCATTAGGCCCTGTTAAAGAACTTAGTTTTTCCTCTGTATTGGCATAAGCCAAGTGAGTGTCTTTCTTACCCAGATGTAAGACTGTAAGATATAAAATAGTTTAGACATAAGATAGAGGAGAAAAAGGGACAGTGAGTTATGGAGAAGGAAGGCAGCTAATTTCTGCAGGCCCCAAGAATGCTTATTTTAGCTCATACTCTTCTATGCATGAAGAGAAAAATGCGCCCATGATTTTACAAGGATGTGAATAATGATATACAAACATTGACGAAGCTTGTTAATTTTAATAAATCTTTATGAATCTGAAGAGAATTAATTGATGTTCATGATAATGATATAGATGTTTAATATGCTTTCTGAAATAACGCTGTTTAGTGTTCAAGTTCTATTGAATATAATTTATATTATTCTTGTTTGAAAATTGTATTGCATAGACACACATTAGTCAGAACACTACACATCCAGACCATGCCTGATAACCCAATAATCGTATATCATTCTCTGGAAAATAGGCTCTTTGGTTATAGAGCATTTATCTTAAATATATTAACAGCCACTACATAAACATTGAAAAGTCATCCAAGTTATAGATCACATTGAAAAGCCATGCAAGTTATAGATCACAGAAGCCAGTTCTACTATAACTGGGGCCTACATACCATTTTTTTTTTTTTTTAGATGGAGTCTCACTCTGTCACTTAGGCTAGAGTGCAGTGGCGTGATCTCTGCTCACTGCAACCTCTGCCTCCTGGGTTCAAGCAGTTCTCTGCCTCAGCCTCCTGAGTAGCTGGGATTATAGACGCCCACCACCATGCCTGGCTAATTTTTTGTATTTTTAGTAGAGATGGGGTTTCACCATCTTGATCAGGCTGGTCTTGAACTCCTGACCTTGTGATCCACCTGTTTTGGCCTCCCAAAGTGCTGGGATTATAGGCGTGAGCCACTGCGCCTGGGCCCTACATACAAAATGTTATGGCAGTGGTTTCAGTATGACAATCTTTTGAATTGATGCTGTATGGTAAAACTATAATGAAGATTTTTAAAAGCTCTGTCTCAGAAATGAAGAGTTGTTATGATTATAACTGAACACTATAGCCCTTTTAGTTATTTGAAAATTACATAATAATTCAAAAGGTTGTTTCACTGCCTTTCCCAGCGCTAAGAAAATTAACAATCATTTCTTTTAATTTCCTTGAGTCAGAAGCCCTCCTAAATTGGCTCTGGACCAGCCATTCTGATATATGATTTCATGATACATGTGTTAATATCTAAATGAGTTGGGAGCTGACATAAAAACCATAGTTCCATAGTAATTATCTTCAAATCAATGGATATCTTAAATGTGTTTTTTTGTTCCTTAGAGGTTATTAAACTGATGTATTTTATAACAAAGACGTTTGAGACTGAGAAAGTTTTTTTAACCAATAATAAGATATAGAAATATATATATTATAAAAAGTAATGAAATAAAGGAGGTTATCTCTAGAGTCATTTATCTTAGTCACTTGCAATTAAATATAGTTACTTTGGAAGAGGAAACATGGCCCTAAAGCTAGTGTAGCATGAATCATGCCCTAATAGGCGTTATATATGAAGTTCACCTTATTTATGTGCCAATGTGGAAGAAAATTTGAGAAATGCTGATCTACACTTTGGTGAGAAAGCAAGGGGTGAGGATGGTATCCTCTCACAGTGCTTCTTAGGCTACGCATTTACCAAGGAATTGTGATCTCTTCCTCTCACTTCCCCAGGAAAGGAGGCAGTTTAAGATACAGAACTGGTCATGCTAGCTTCTTTTTCCCTTTTTGTGGATTTGTCATGCCTGCAGAGAACCTATGTTTTGGTCTCTTGCCACTCACATTGTGAACCTTGCAGTGAAGGTTCTTTGCCTCGGCAAAGGGAGACCTGTGCTTGTGTAGAACTGCCCATGCCTTAGTGAGCAGGTCTGTCTAATTGTGAGTTCAATATCCGGTGGCTATTGTTGGCATAAACTTAAAGTATATCCTCTAACCTAGTCAGCAATAAACCCAATATATTGAATCTCCATCTGTCTTTCTCTCAAGTGGTTCAAGGTCAGGAGAGGACAGGAACATTATTTTATGTCTCCCTTAAACCTTAACAAAGACGAGAGCAGATTATATTTGAAAGTAAGCATGAGATATATTAAAAATCAAATATGGGAATTCTATCCTAATTTTAGATTTTTTAAAATAATGGAAATTCTATTGAAATTGAGTAGTGTCAACTACAAGGCAACCAGTAAACATTTTTTCAGGATATTTAAAAGGTCTGCTGACTTGAAATTGTGACAGACCACATTGTTGACTCTAGATTGAATTGGAAGGGAAGAATGTGAAATGAATTAGGATATCCTCTGTTTACCTCTATTAACTTTCTTAAATGAGTATAATTTAGAAATAATAAAATGCAAATATTTTAAGATTATATTTTGGAGAGTTTTGACAAATGTGAACACCCACTTCACTACCACTACCATTCTAATGTGTATGTCCACCACCCAAAAAGTTCTCTAAAGCCGTTTTGAAGTTCTCTAAAGTCCCCTCCACCCAACAGCCAACGCTGGTCAACTTCTTATCTGCTTCTGTGACTATACATTAGATTTGACTTCAGAATTCTAGAATTTGAAATAAATAGGCTGCGTAATATGCACTCTTTTTGTGTCTGGCTTTTTTTTCCCCCCTATAATAATGCTTTTGAAACCTATCCATGTTGAGATTAATCCATGTTACTGTGTATATCAGTATTAAGTTCCTTTTTATTGCTGAATAGTATTCTAGTATATGGATATACCACAATTTGTTTAGCTGTTGACCTATTGAATGACATTTAGGTTGTTTCAAATTTTGACCTATTATGAATAAAGCTGTTATGTATATAAATCACAGTTCTGCGTGTGGACATATGTGTTCATTTCTCTTGTATAAATACCTAGGGATGGAATTGCTAAGTCTTATGACCAGTTTATGTATAACTTTAAAGGAAACTGCCAAACTGTTTTCCAAAGTATCTGTACCATTTGGCATTTCTACCAGCAATGTATTAAATTAATTTGAGTTACCCCTTATCCTTGTCAATGATTGGTATTCAGTCTTTTAGATGTTAGCCACTTTAGTGACGATGTAGTAGTATTTCATTATGATTGTAATATCCATATCCCTAATGATGTTGAGCATGTTTTCAGAGGCTTATCTGACATTTCTATATCTTTTTTGGAAAGTACCCATTCAAATATTTTGCCCATTTTTAATTTATGTTACCATATTATTGAGTTGTAAGAGTTTTTCCTTTTTACTGGATGGAAGTCCTTCATGAGCTGTAAGTATTGTGCATAATATTGTCTAATCTGCAGCTTGCTTCTTTTGTTTTCATAATGATACCTTTTAAAGAACAGAAGTTTTAATCTTTATGATGTTAAATTTATAAGTTTTCTTCTTTTATGGTTGTGCTTTTTGTGTGCTAAGAAATCTGTCCTTACCCCCAGATCACAAAGATTTTCTGTTTTCTGCTAGAAGTATTATAGGCTTAACTTTTATGATTAGGTTCATGATCGATTTCATGTTAATTTTGTTGTTGTTATTCATATTTTCACCTGGTCCCCTAACTTTTTGTTTTGTTTTGTTTTAAGCTTAAATTATTTTATTTTATTTTATTTTTTTGGAGACGAGGTCCCTCTATGTTTCCCAGGCTGGAGTGCAGTGACTATTCACAGGTGCGATCCCACTACTGATCAGCACTGGAGTTTTGACCTGCTCTGTTTCTGACCTGGGCCGGTTCACCCCTCCTTAGGCAACCTGGTGGTCTCCCACTTCCGGGAGGTCACCATATTGATGCCAAATTTAGTGCAGACACCTGAATGGCATAGTACACTACAGCCCAGAACTCCTGGGCTCAAGCGGATCCTCCCACCTCAGCCTCCCGAGTAGCTGGGACTATAAACATGTGCCACGGTGCCTGGCAGTTGTCTTATTTTTTAACTTTTATTTTAGGTTTAGGGGTACATGTGAAGGTTTGTTATAAAGATAAACATGCATCATGAGGGTTTGTTGTACATATTATTACATCATCCAGGTATTAAACTTAATACCCAATAGTTGTCTTTTCTGCTCCTCTCCCCTCTCTCAGCTTCCCCCCTGAAGTAGACCCCATTTTCTGCACTTTCCTTCATTGTTTTTATAAGTTCTTATCATTTAGCTCCCATTTATAAGTGAGAACATGTAGTATTTGGTTTTCTGTTCCTGTGTTAGTTTGCTCCATCAGTGTTCCTATGAAAGACATGATCTCATTCTTTGTTATGGATGCATAACGTCCCATGCTGTACATGAACCACATTTTCTTTAGCCAGTCTGTCATTGATGTGCATTTAGGTTGATTCCAAATCTTTGCTATTGTGAACAGTGTTCCAGTGAACATTTGTGTACATGTGTCTTTATGGTAGAATGCTTTATATTCCTCTGGTTATATACCCAATAAAGGGATTGCTGGGTAGAATGGTAGTTCTGCTTTTAGTTCTTTGTGGAATTGCCATACTGCTTTCCACAGTGGTTGAACTAATTTACACTCCCACCAACAGCGTATAAGGGTTCCCTTTTCTATGCAACCTCGCCAGCCAGCGTCTGTT